CCACTTTTTAGAGCAGCGTCTTAGTTCATTTAAGCGCTTAACATCTTCCACCACAACAGCTTGCCTCTGGGGGCGGGGTGGTATTTGTATGTCCATTTGTCCTCCAGTTTTACAAGAATGAGAGAGTATTAGAGCCCATTGCTTTATCTATTCTCTGCAGGGTTCAGGTACACTGGCTAAGGCAGAACCCCAATTCTTTACATTGATGTCAGACTTCTGGCAACCAGTACTCTTCCTTACTCACCGCTGTGTGTGCTCATTGATCAATGTGGTCATGACCAGTGGTGTGAGTAGGAAACCCAACCTGTGGGATGCAGTTTTGCCATTGAAAGAAAGTTCACTGAAGAAAATTATACTATGAAAAGGCATTTTGATCGTTTCATTTCTGGGGAATGACCTGAGGGAAGCTTTTTAATATTAATTTCAAGCTTTCCTTATCCTGCAACTTTAAACAAAAGCTTTAATTTCGTTTGCACTCCTGTTTTGAGCTTGTAACTGGAAAAGCATGTCTTGCACTGTTCAACCTTCTAAGTGGTCACTTTAACAACCTCCAAATTGTGTACAGTGGTTATTTTCCCCACTTGTTTATTTTTGAAACAGTCAACTATTACTGTCCTAGTTTTATTTTAATGTACTAAATTATGTAGTCATTATTTGCCTGTTAAGTTCTTTTAAACAACTGTTGCCTTGGGCTTCAGTTATTTAAGGTAAACCTAGGTGTAGTATAGAATACTATCCCTTTCCAGGTGGGAGTTTGACACCTGTATAAAACCTAGGTTTTGGTAAGTACCTTAGTTGAATAAAAGCACAAGGTCACTACCTTTTTTTATCTGTCCAACATGACTTGGTTATGCATCCTTGAGATTAACCTCACCAAATGAAACGTTTTCTTATCAATTTTTAACATTGTCCTTACATAATATTGTCCTTAGATTTTGATCAATTCTTTGTCTAACTTTGAAACTCCATTTACAATGTAGTATGTTTTCAATGAAAAACCATAAAATAACATCCAAGTGTTTTCATGGTTTGTTGGGAAGGTAATTTTAAAATAAACAATTTCCAAAAAACATTTGTCAGCCAAGGTCATCCATAAAAGTCCCTGTCTGGAACTCATTTTCTCAGCAGGTCTCATTTGTTTAATCATAGGATTTAGCCATATTGTCACAACTTCGGAGGAGGCCTACTGGAATACTCATGGCCTTTCATAGTCTGCTTTCATGTCAATAGGAAGACTTAAGTAACAGAGTACATGTTTACAGGCTTACAAAGGGATATAACCTCAGATGATCTTTTTAATAGTTGTTAATGAATTATTTAAAGTTCCCTGGGTCTCTTTTTAAACTACATCTGGACACCCTAAATGTCTACAGTCTCAGTTAACATGAGTATTTGGCTTCCATAATAAGCACTCACTATTAAAAGATAGATTTTCTGTTTCAAAATCCAAATTTCTACAGTATACACTTGTAGTCATCTGCCCATAAGGTTAATGAGTTGCACTTGTTAATGCATGAATGTGGCATAACAGTAGGAGATAAAGCACTACAGTTTAAGTCTTAAATCTTAACTAGCTAAAACATGTTAGGATGTTGCCTTGGCCCATTTGATAGCTGTTATACTTGCCTTTGGGTAGTATAATGGTATTTAAGTTTCAACAAATCACAAAATATTTCCTTCACCTAAAACTGCCATATGTTACAGGAAAATTGTAAATTAGCCTCCCAAGAGAGAAACCATCCTGCCCTGGGTTATAGGTCGGTAATTTAAATGCTGTATGTTAATATTGTGTTGTCCTAGAACAACATTTTATAAAGTATTCCTGTCATCTTCCTTGGCTGTCTTTCAGAGGAGACTTCTCTAATAAGTCGTCCCACTTACGAATTGATTATGGTGCAATACTACAAACAGGTACCACGTGGAAGGGCCTATGGAAGAAATGGAGAGGACTGCCTCCTCGCCCCCAACATGATTCTCAGCTTATCTCCCATGTGGACTTGGCTTGGTTTTCACATATTCTGAATTATGTATTATTTTAGAACATGAGGATATAGAACCTGGTTTTTGTTTGTTTGTTTGTTTTGAGCTCCTCTTGATGTACAGAGCCTGGAAATAATGGGGCAAACACAAATGTAATCAGAGTAATCATACTGTTTTAAAAACCTGGGGTGCCATCAGGTCTAAAGCCACTGGCTTTGGAAGCAACTTTTTTTTGTAAAACGTGTTTTTGGAGTACTGAACTTTACAGGGGCTTGCCTTAATCTCTATTTAGTAGTTTCAAATGTAGGCGCTATTATTCTACTTGTTAAAGTGTTAAAATATTCTATGTAGCCCCTAAGGTGGGTAGAACAGAGTATAAGTAATGCCTAAATAAATAAGCTAAAAGGTGTCACTACAGCTGGATTTTTGAGCGAAAATGGACATATGAACATAGGCTATGTGTAATAAAAATAATGGCACCTTAAGATTGCACTATTTTATGCATTATTTTATATGCCATTTCATAGCCTGCACTTTAATCTCCAAAGAAACAATGTATGATGTCCCAGTTCCTTATTACTAACAAACTTTTTCCTAAGACAGGGCACTAATTCTATTTTACTATACTGAAGTAGTTTCTTGGAGGTAGATTCCTCTTTTGAGTTCTCTATTTCCTTAGCCATAATATTTTCTAGGATCTAGGAACTCCCTATCTTGTCTATTTCCAACAGTATATAATTTTAATTTAATGTAATGTAAAATCTCATACTTGGTGATCAGCACATTCTTATATCCTGCTCTAGAAAATGAGTACCCATTTTTTAACACTTACCAAACCTTCTAAAAATAATGATATGCTGTAAGTAAGATTTGAAGCCAGGGATAAAGGCATTCTCAAAGGAAGTGCCATGTATGATGCAGTCTCTTGGAAATGGCTGTTTCTAGTGTAAAATACAATTTGATGGGCTATTCAATGATTTGACTTGGGATCGGAATTCCTTTAACTAGTCCTCAAAAAGTTAATGAGTAAAGAACTACTTTAAAATAACAAACTTCTATAGCCTGCCATCTGAGGTGAATTATTTTCAAGAATTCCTATATAATCTACAAAATGAAATTAGCAATTAGTTGACTGCTGCCTACCATGATTTTATTTTTAATAGCAATACATTTATATTTGTGGTAAACACTATAGGCTTAGGTAATGGCCTTTTCCAGCTTCCTAAGAATCTTTGTTAAATTTCTGAAATTGAAACATTAAATTGAAATTTTTCCTGTTGTGTCTGAAGAGAACCATGGGATTTAGAAGCATATTGGTAATCTATTAGGTCCATTGCCAAAGTATACATCAAAGCTATACCAAAAGTTTAGACGTGTTTAAAATTACTTTATGTGGTACCATGTCTGTTTACTTACGGTCATGAGCAACAATAAATTACAATAGTTTACCTTCTGGAATTTTAATTGTTATAACCTAATTCAATTACTGGAAAGTGAAAAACACCTCCCGGGCACACGACAGGGTACGTAAATAAATGTGTTTTTACCAGTGTTACTTGTTTTCTTTGTATTTCATGCACAAAGATTATGGAGCTCTTCGTCTAACAAATGCCATGCTAATAGCTACCACCTCTTAAAGCAGTATATTGTTTTAGTTTAATCCTCATAGCCACTTTATAAAGTAGGTTTTACTCTCTATAAGGAAGTTAAACTCAGGTTAAGCAACATATCCAGAATGTTATACAAGGAAGTGCCTAAGTGGGATTTGAACCCAGACCTACCTGCCTCCAAAGCTTATGTATTTCTGCTACGCTCTACTACATTCTAAAACAGCTGGGACCTATGAGACTCTAGATTACATTAATTCTTTAAACTCAATAAATATACAGAAGAACATTTCATACATCTACCAGAAGCAGTCTATGCCAAACATCACTAATGTTAAGAGTAACATACAGAGCTTAAAATCATGAAGACAAGGCTTGAAGGAGGCAACTTTTGTCCTAAAGTTCTTTGACAATGGATTTACACTAGGCATACAGGTAAAAGAAAATATTTTTAAGGCTTCTAAGAACGTGTAGTCTTAAATAGGCAGTCCTGGCAAGAGATGTAGCTGGAGGCCACTAGCGCATGTCCGTAGTTGCCTTACTATAATGTTGGCTACCAGTCAATACAAAAGTAGTGACCACCAAATTCTCTTGTCCTGCCGGGGAAGAATACTCGCTCTCTTCTAGTTCTCTTTTCAAAATTCCTTCCAGCTCCAAGACTATTCAAAATTTCAATGCAATAAAATCATACAAATCAATTTCATCTCTGTTTCATAAAGATGTAACTGATAGGGAATTACTGGAAATGAAATTTTCTGAGGAAGAACACACTCTTCTTTGATAAATACTTTACCCACTCACTTTGTTTCCAACTTAGAAAAGAGATCACAGATGAATTTATGCTGAAAGATGAGGGTGACAGCCGTGGTATCAGTTACCCCAACACCATCACTGCATTCTAGTCATCAAGATACCACAGAAACATAGGGACTTCCCTGGTGGCTCAGTGGTTAAGAATCCGCTTGCCAATGCAGGGGACACGGGTTCGATCCCTGGTCCGGGAAGATGCCACATGTTGCGGAGCAACTAAGCCCGTGTGCCACAACTACTGAGCCTGGGCTCTAGAGCCCGCGAGCCACAACTACTGAAGCCCGGGCCCCATGCTCCACAACAAGAGAATCCACCGCAATGAGAAGCCCACGCTCCGTAACAAAGAGTAGCCCCTGCTCGCCACAACTAGAGAAAGCCCGCACACAGCAACGAAGACCCAACGCAGCCAAAAATAAATAAATATTTTTTAAAATTAAAAAAAAAAGATATCACAGAAACCTAGAAAAATAAAAACAGCTGCTGTACCTCCCAGTCTTCAGAGGGTACATCAGGGTGGAGATCTTTATCCCTATCTCCTTCAGGTAGTTCAGTTGCTATGCAAAAAACACATTGTTGGGAAACCAAGAATCTTTACCAATACTGTTGCTTTAAAAATAAAAGGATATGTCTTTATTTATGAACTCCTCATGTTAATTCCTGAAACAATTCTTACAGGCTCCATTAAAGATTATTTTTCTCATCCAGAAAATGTGTTTCAACTTGCTTATATTCCTCAGGTTTTGGTGAGTCATTTCCTGAAAGCAAAATTATAGGAAACCGTGAGGAGAAAAACACAGTGGCGGATGTTTGAGCACAAAGTACAAATTATGACTGGAAAGGAAATACAAATCAAGGATGAAATTCCCAAAATTCATTAAATTTTGTTCATAGAAATACATTCAACCAAAGAGCTTTCTCAACTTTTATGTTTTCTTTAAATTTTTTTCCCCTGGGATCTTTAGATTGAACAAAAGTCAGTTTCTACCTAGAATCTGAAGCAGCAATGTAAATAATTGGCTCCGGGAATGCAAAACCTATGGCGTGCTTTCTCTCTTAGGACACAGGGAAAACCCCTGTCTTCTCAGGGCTAAGCAGAAGATGGGGAGGGGGAAGCAGAAGCAGGGGACCTAAAATGCTTGTTCTTCCTTCGAAGGGTTGCAGCAAACTTACAAGAAAGTGCCTTAGCTCTCTAGATAACCAGTTTCTATAACCCTAGGTGCTGCCATAGTAGCTGCTTTCCATTCCCAAAGCAAAGGCAGCTTGTGCCTTCCTTGTAAGAGGACAATAAAGGAATGAATGTCAAGGGGTTAACAGTGCTCAGCACATAGTAAGCAGGTAATAAGTAATAAACTGTGGTAAATATATATAGGGAGATAGATATGACTAAGGAAATAGAGATACAGAAGATATATTGCATTGGCTGCATGTATTTCCTTCAATCCTTGCTTTAAGCATATTTAAATTTTTTTTTTTTAAAGCACGGAAAACAATTAGCTATTACAGGCTTTCTAGCCTCCTGGGGAAATTTATTTTCAATATTTTAAAACTTTTATTTTCAATATTTTTAATATTTCACAGGACTTTTTACACTGCCCGGCAGTGCTTCCTTGAGAGCCACAGGAGAGAAACCACTTTTTTTTTTAAATATTTATTTATTTAATTTTATTTTTGGCTGCGTCAAGTCTTAGTTGCAGCACGCAGGATCTTTTGTTGCAGTGCACAGACTCTTTGTTGTGGCACGTGGGCTTCTCTCTAGTTGTGGCGCACAGGCTTCAGAGGGTGCAGGCTCAGGAGTTGCAGCACATGGGCTCTCCAGTTGTGGCACGCGGGCTTAGATGCCCCATGGCATGTGGGATCTTAGTTCCCCGTCAAGGGATCAAACTCCGCATTGGAAGGCGGATTCTTAACCACCAGACCACCAGGGAAGTCCCAAGAAACCAGTCTTGAAATGCTCATCCTTCTCCACCTTGGGCTGAGGGCTCTGATAAGGAAGGAGGACCTCGACCTGAACCTGGTAGAATAAAGAGAGGAGCCTCTTCAGAACTCCACTCCCTTCACCTTAAGACACAACCAAGTAAGAGTCAAGCATATGTGCAATGGAACCAGAATTGAGTGCCTACTCCCAGCTCTACCAATTATGAGCTATGTAATACCAGCTTGGGTGGTTAATACTTTGAGGCTCAGTTTCATCATCTGTAGAATACTTCCTACCTCAGAGAGTTGATACAAAAGCCCAAAGGATTCAGGGAGGGTGGTGGAGTAGGAAGAACCAGGAATCTGTCTCCCCACTTAGACAACAATTACACTGGCAGGATCTGTCTGATGTAATTATTCTGGAACTCTGGGGTCTATTGAAGACTTGCACTTCCAAGGAAAGACTTGTGGTTAATTTGGGTCAACTTCAGGTCTTAGCACAGGAGCAACCAGCCACCCATCCCCAACCCATGATGGGCTAAAAGGACCCTGTCCCCCAAATATTTGGGATCTGTGTTCTGATCACTGATCACTGCTTCTGATCACAGAGGTGCAGACAAAGATTGCAGGAAGCCACTGTTGTAGCTCCCTCCATTGTTGCGAACCTCTCTCCCACCAGCTCTCCCACCGCCTTCTAGGAGATTTAAAGAGCCAGCACCCTTTCCACCACCACCCCTTCATCTTTCTCTTTCTTAATGTCTGGGAGCCAGACATTAAAGACGAAGACATTCAACAACCACTTTATGTACTGGGAAAATTAGAAAGTGACCAGGTATGCGGAAGGAAAGTCTCAAATAAAGACCTGAGAGGACATTAAGTTTACACCTCAGGCAGACCCTCAGCACAGAGACAGCCTACAACAATCAAAATAAATAAATATACAAAAACAATTACCAAAATCCAGCAAATCCTGGGCATGCAGGAGAACATGATTCCCAGAGTTACCACATTATTAGATTCAAATATCTAGTTTTCAATAACAACAACAACAAAATCACAAGGCATACAAAGAAACAGAAAAGGATGGCCCATTAAAGGGGAAAATATAAATCAACAGAAACTGTCCCTTAAAAAGGACTAATGGCAGATATACTAGACAGATTTTAAGATAACTTTTTAAAAGATGCTCAAAGAACTAAAGGGAGATATGGAGAAAGTGAAGAAAATGATGTATGAACAAAATGGAAATATCAATAAAGAGACAGAAAACCTAAAAAGAAAAAGAAATTTTGGACCTGAAGAGTAAATAACTAAATGAAAAAATTTACTAGAAGGCAGATTTGAGCAGGCAGAAGAAAGAATTAGGAAACAGAAATAGGACAAGGAAATTAAGTCTGAGGAACAGAAAGAAAAAGATTGAAGAAATGAACAGAAACTAAAGGATCTGTGGGACACCAACAATAGGCCAAAAAACACATTGTGGGAGTCCCAGAAGGAGAAGAGAGAAAAGAGCAAAGAGAATATTTGAAGAAATTATGGTTGCAAACTTCATACATTTTATGAAAGACGTGAATATAAACATCCAAGAAGCTCAATAAACTCCAAGTAAGATGTACTTAAATAGACCCACGCTGAGACACATATAATCAAACTTTCAAAAACCAAACACAAAGAGAGAATGTTGAAATCATACAAGGGAGAAGTAAATCATTACATACATATCCTCAATAAGATTATAAGCAGATTTCTCATCAGAAACTTTGGAGGCCAGAAGGCAGTGGGTCAATGTATTCAAAGTGCTAAGAGAAAACACTGTCAACCAAGAATCCTATATCTGGCAAAACTGTCCTTCAAAAGTGAGAGAGAAATTAAGACACTACCAGATTAAAAAAAAAAAAAAAAAGAAAAGCTGAGGGGTTCTGTTTCCACTAGATCTGCCCTGCAAGAAATGCTCAAGGGAGTCTTGCAAGATTAAATGAAAGGACACTAGACATTAACTCTAAGCTATATGCAGAAATAAATATCTCGATAAAATTAAATACATCTGCAATTATAAAAGCTAGTGCTACTGTAACACTGATTTGTAAGTGCACAGTTTTCCACATAAGTGACAAGATTAATACATTAAGAAAAAAATCACTAGTCTATCACAGACTTTGAAAACAAACTTATGGTTACCAAAGGGGAAAGGTGGTGGGGGGGATAAATTAAGAGTTAAGGATTAATGTATACACACTACCATATATAAAATAATCAACAAGGACCTACCATACAGCACAGGGAACTCTACTCAATATTTTGTAATAACCTATATGGGAAAGATTCTGGAAAAGAATGGATATATGTATGTGTATAACCAAATCACTTTGCTGTACACTTGAAACTACCATGACATTGTAAATCAATCATACCCCAATATAAAATAAAAATTAAATTTAAAAAATCACTAGTTTAAAAGCTAGTATTATTGTAAGTTTGGTTTATAATTCAAAATCTTGTTTTCCACATAATTTAAGAAACTAATGCATTTAAAAAAATTATTAGTTTATGTTTGGGGGCACACACTGTAAATATAAAGAGGTAATTCTGTGACATCAACAATTGACAGGTGAAGGGATGGAGCTGTGAAGGAGCAGAAATTTTGTATGTTATTGAAGTTAGGCAGGCATAAATTCAACTTAGAGTGTTATAAATTTAGGATGTTAAATTTAATCATGGTAAACACCAAAAAAACCCTACAGAATATACACAAAAGTAAATGAGAAAGGAATTAAACATTTCACTACAAAAAAACTGACTAAACACAAAAGAAAAAGTGTGAGGAAAACAGGTAGAAAAATGACAAAAGTAAATCCCTCCTTATCTATAATTATTTTACATGTAAATGGGTTAAACTCTGTAATCAAAAGACAGAGATTTGAAGAATGGATTAAAACACATGATCCAACTATCTACTGTCTATAAGACATTTCTGATGCAAAGACACAAATAGGTTGAAATTCAAAGGGTGCAAGAGTATATTCCATGCAAATAGTAACCAAAAGAGAGCAGGGGTGGCTATTCTAATATCAGACAAAATAGCCTTAAAATCAAAAAAGTTTACAATAGATAAAGGACATTATAAATTAGCAAAGGTTTCAATACAGTAAAAAGGTATAACAATTATAAACATTTACACACCTAGTGACAGACCCTTAAAATATATGAAGCAAAAACTGAGATAATTGAAAGGAGAAACAGATATGTGAAAATTAATAAAGGGAAACCTTATTTTAAATGGAGTCAGGAAGCCCTGAAGGGAAGCTCTCATGAACATACCATTTGTCACAGCTTACTTTACACTCTTGGACAGGAAGAAGTTTACTACGACATCAGAAGGAAGATTTTCTCCTTGCTCAGCAACAACTCTGCCAATGAGAAACCACCACTCCCTGAACTTTCCTGCAGTGGACTTTTGTTCAAAACAACCCTCCCATGGGGACTTCCCTGGCAGTCCAGTGGTTAAGACTCCACCCTTCCACTGCAGGGGGCACAAGTTCAATCCCTGATCAGGGAACTAAGATCCCCACATGCCACGTGGCGTGCCCAGAAAAATAAAATTAAAAATAAAAAGTAAAACCCTCCCAACTCCCCGCTTTCCTCGGTTTCTCTTCTTTGTTCTCTGGTTGCCTATGGTTCACCATAGTTTGCATGTCCCCAGTTGCAATCCCTCTGCTATTCCTGAATAAACTTGATTCTACTGGCTAAAAAGCTTGCCTTTTTGTTTTAAAGGTTGACAAATTGTTCCACAGGAATAGTTGGAGACAACAATACTGCACTTACAATAGTGGATAGAACAGCCAGACAGAAGGTAAGCAAAGAAATAGAGGACTTAAACAACACAAAAGACCAACTGGATCTAACAGACTTATACAAAACACTCTATCCACCAATAACAGAATACACATTCTGCTCAATACACATCATTCTCAAGTCTTTTCCAGGACAGACCATATTTGAGGCCACAAATTAAGTCTCAAAAGATTTTAAAAAATAGATTACACAAAGTATTTTCTTCCACCACAATAGGATGAAGTTAAAAATCAATAACAGAAGGAAAGTAGAAAATTCAAAAATTATGGAAATTAAACAACATACTCTAAAACAACCAATGGATTAAAGAAGAAATCACAAGAGAAATTAGAAAATACTTAGAGACTAATAAAAATGAAAACAAAACATACCAAAACTATGGGAAACAATGAAAGTGGTACTAAGGGGGAAATTTATAGCTTGCATTAAAAATCAAGAAAGATCTCAAATCAACAACTTAACTTTACAATTTAAGGAATTAGAAAAAGAAGAATTAAACCCAAATCTACCAGAAGGAAGGAAATAAAGATTAGAGATAAATGAAATAGAGAGTAGAAAAACAATAGAGAAAATCAATGAAAAAAAAAAGTTGGGGGCTTCCCTGGTGGTGCAGTGGTTGAGAGTCTGCCTGCCGATGCAGGGGACACAGGTTCGTGCCCCGGTCCGGGAAGATCCCACGTGCCGCGGAGCGGCTGGGCCCATGAGCCATGGCCGCTGAGCCTGTGCATCTGGAGCCTGTGCTCCACAATGGGAGAGGCCACAACAGTGAGAGGCCCGCGTACCACAAAAAAAAAAAAAAAAAAAAAGTTGGTACTTCAAAAAGGTCAGTAATATTTAAAAACATTTAGTCAGAGAGATGAAGGAAAAAAGAGAGAAGAATTAAATTACTAAATCAGAAATGAAAGTAGAGACATTACTACAAAGCTACAGAAATAAAGAGGATTATTTATAAGAGAGTACTATGAGCAATCATGTGCCAACAAATTGGATAACTTAGATGAAACAAACAAATTCCTAGAAACACAAAAGTTACCAAGACTAAATCACACACAAAAAAATAGAAAATGTGAATAGACCTATAACTAGTAAGGAGATTGAATTAGCAATTAAAAATCTCCCAAAAAGAAAGGCCCTAGGTGTAATAGCTTCACCAGTGAATTATACCAACATTTAAAGAAGAGCTATTACCAATTCTTGTCAAACTTTTGAAAAAAAATTGAAGAGGAGGGAGCACTCCTCATTTCATTCTATGAGGCCAGAATTACCCTGATACCAAAGCCAGTTAAAGACTTAAGAAGAAAAGAAAACTACAGCCCAATATTCTTTATAAACATTGATGCAAAAATCCTCAACAAAATACTAGCAAACTGAATTCAGCAGCATATTAAATGCTTATACACCATGACCAAGTGGGATTTATTCCTGGAATGCAAGGATGGTTCAATAATACACCACATTAACAGAATGAAGGGGAAAGTAACACATAATAATCTCACCGGACACAGAAAAAGCATTTGACAAAATTCAACACCCTTTCATGATAAAACACTCAACAAACTCGAAATAGAAGGAAACTACCTCATCATAATAAAAGTCACATACCAAAAATTCACAGCAAACATCATATTAAATGGTGAAAGAACGAAAACTTTCCATCTAAGATCAGGAACAAGGCAAGGAACAAGAATTTCACCACTTCTACTCAACATAGTGCTGGAGGTCCTAGCTGGAGAAATTAGGCTAGAAAAAAGAAATAAAAGGCATCAAAATTGGAAAGGTAAAAGGAAAATTATCTCTGTTCATGTATGATATGATCTTACATATAGGAAACCATAAGATCACACACACACACACACACAAACTGTTAGAACTAATAAACAAATTTAGCAAAGTAGCAGGATTCAAAGTCAACACATAAAAATCAGTTGCATTTCTATACACTAACAATGAACTATCTGAAAAGGAAATTAAGAAAACAATTCCACTTATAATAGTGACAAAGTGAATAAAATACTTAGGGATTAACTTAATTAACCAAGGAGGTGAAAGACTTGTACAGTGAAAACTACAAAATACTGATGAAAAAAGTAAAGAAGATGTAAATATTGGAACTCATTCTGAGTTCACGGACTGGAAGATTTCACAGTGTTACCATGTCAATACTACCAAAAGCGATCTACATATTTAACGCAACCCCTATCAAAATTCCAATGACATTTTTTGCAAAAATAGAAAAACCCATCCTAAAATTCACATGGATTTTCAAGAGACCCCAAATAGCTAAAAACAATCTTGAAAAAGAAGAACAAAGCTGGAGGACTCACACTTCTGATTTCAAATCTTACTACAAAGTTACAGTAATCAAAACAGTGTGGTACTGGCATAAAGACAGACATATAGATAATGGAATGGAACAGAGAATCCAAAAATAAACACTTGCATATAAAATCAATGATTTTTGACAAAAGTGCAAAAACCATTCAAGGGCTTTTCAACAAATGATGCTAGGAAAGCTGTATATCCACATGCAAAAGAACAAAATTGGATTCTTCCCTAATACCATATACAAAAAGTCACTCAAAATGAATCCATGACCTTAATGTCAGACCTGAAACTCTTAGAAGAAATTGAGACAAAACTTCATGACATTGGACTTGGCAATGATTTCTTGGATGTGACACCAAAGGCACAGTTCATAAGAAAAAGTGGATAAATGGGACTTCATGAAAATTTTTAAATTTTGTGGATCAAAAGACACTATCAACAGAGTATAATGGCAACCCACAGAATGGAAGAAAATATTTGCAAATCATGTATCTGATAAAGTGTTAATATCCAGAACATATAAAGAATTCCTAAAAATCAAACAAACCAAAAAAAAAACGAACTACCCTATTCAAAAATGGACAAAGGACTTGAATAGACATTTCTCCAAAGAAGATGAATAAATGGCCAAGAAGCACATGAAATGATGCTCAACATCACTAATCATTAGAGAAATGCAGATCAAAGCTACAATGAGACACCACCTCACCACACACCTCACATTAGGACGGCTAGTATATAATTTTTAAAACATTTCTAATACAGAAAACAGCAAGTACTGACAAGGATGTGGAGAAACTGAAACTGTGCACTGTTGGTGGGAATGTAAAATGGTACAGCTGCTGTAGAGAACAATATGGTGGTTCCCCAAAAAGTTAAAAGTAGAATTACCATTTGATTCAGCAATTCCACTTCCAGGTGAATACCCAATAGAAATGAAAGCAAGGTCTCAAAGAGATATTTGCATACCTCTGTTCATAGCAGCAGTATACATAATAGCTAAAATGTGGAAGCAACCCAAGTGTCCACTGATGGATGAATGCATAAGCAAAGTGTGTTATATACATATAATGGAATATTATTAGCCTTAAAAAGGAAGGACATTCTGACACATGCTACAACGTGGATGACCTTTGGGCACATGATGCTAAGTGAAATAAGCTACTCATAAAAAAACCAAAAATTGTATGATTCCACTTTGTTGAGGTACTTAAAATAGTCAAAGTTATAGAGACAAAAAGTGGAATGGTGGTTTTGAGGGGATGGGGAAGAGGGAACTTGAAGCTTGGTTTAACAGGCACAGAGTTTCTGGTTTACAAGTTGTAAATGGATCTGAAGGTAGATGATGGTGATGGTTGTACAACACTATTTATGTATTTAATAACACTGAATTGTACAGTTAAAAATGTTAAGATGGTACATTTCATGTTATGTGTGTTTTACCACAATTAAAAAATTGAAAAAAATATTCTTTATATACAAATATGGAAAGATCTACAAGACTGATTGTTAAGGAAAAAAACAATGTGCTGACAAGTATTATAGTGTAACAACTTTTGTGTAAAAAATAAAAAAGGAGGAAATAACATACTGCGATCTAATTTCATGTATATGCATAAAGAAACTCTAAAGAAATAGCGAAGGAGTTAACAGGGGTTACATATTGGCATTGAGCAACTTTGCAATGGGGAACAGGAATCCACGCAAGAGTATCCCTAGATACTTGTTTGTATATTTTTCTATTTTTGAACCATGGAAATGTATCACCAATTCAAAAATTAAATTAACAAAACTTTAAATCTTATAAGCTATGTTTCTTTTTTTGAAAATAGTATACCTGTGCTATAACTGAATTTTGGAACATATGACATCAATGATGATGAAAGGGAAGTAGGTAGAGGGAAAATAAAGCACTTTAAAGAACTGATGATTGTCTGCCTGCCAATGCAGAGGACACGGGTTCGTGCCCTGGTCCGGGAGGATCCCACATGCCGCGGAGCGGCTGGGCCCGTGAGCCATGGCCGCTGAGCCTGCGCGTCCGGAGCCTGTGCCCCGCAACGGGAGAGGCCACAACAGTGAGAGGCCCGCGTAACGAAAAAAAAAAAAAAAAAAAAGAACTGATGATTGCATTAGCCATCATTTTTAAAATTAACTTTATAGAGGAATACATTAAATGCAATGAAATGTATCCATTTTAAGTGTACAGTTCTTTAAGTTTTGACAAATGTATATACTCATGTAACCACCACCACAACTGAGATATAGAACTTTTCACCACAGCATGTTTGCTTTGATCCTTCCTAGTTGATTCCCATCCCAGCACCAGCCCCAGACAACCACTGATCTTATTTGTCTTTTCCAGAGTTTCATATAAAAAGAATCATATATAAGATAGTCTTTTGAGTGAGGTTTCCTTCACACAACATATATTTCTGAGATCTGTGCATGTCAATGCATGTGTCAGTAATTTGTTCCTTTTTATTGCTAAGT